GGAGGAGGAGGGGAAGGAGGAGGAGGGGGAGGAGAGGGATTTGGGAGAGGAGGAGGAGGGGGATGAGGAGGGAGGAGAGGGAGGAGGGGAGCCTTTTGAGATCCCATCCTCAGCCCAGGCTGTTAGAGGCGTTGGCTGTGGGTCATGCCACGGAGGGCTCACAGTGGGCCGGCCAGACGTAAGCTGGCAGACACAGGAGAGATCATTATGGAAAAGTACCGAACAGGCTGTCCGTGCACACAAACACACACTCTGAGAATCCAGAGGAGTGGACGTGGCCCTGGGCTGCGGGTGGGGGAGGGGATGCGCAGAATGGGTAAACGATAGCATCTGATGGCGGCAGCAGGCACAGGGGTTGGCGCAGACTGTGGTCTGGAGACAGGAGATCAGACTCCCTAAATTATTGTAAGGACCGCATGCTTGCTAAAGCAGTCACTGGGTGCCAGGTGAGGGTTTTAGAGAAAACACTGCTACTCCTGATACCCTCCAAGGTAGGGGATACTATGCCCATTTTACAGGTGGGAACCCTGAGGCTCAGAGAGGGCCAGGGCATTGCCGCCAAGGTCCCACAGCTGGGAAATGGTGTGGCTGGGTTTGAACCAGGGTCTGCCTGACCCCAAAGCTGTGCCCTTACCACGGTCCCATGTGCAATGTTACAAACAAGTTGGGACCTCAAATATTGGTACCAGGTGTATCTTTAGCATCCACTGGTTGTGTATACACAGCATACTCAGGTGGGCGGCCAGGGGCTCCAGCAGAGGCTCCTGGCTGCCTGGGCGGGGCCTCTGCTGCAGGGCCCTTGAGCAGAGGGGTGGCATGTGGCCGGAGTCTTGAACAGCGGCCCAGTGGGGGGTGGGCTTGGACCTTCACCATGGGACCAAGGAAAAGGCTCTGGGGGGTTCGAAGACGAGTGGCCCGAAGAGCTGTGTCCCTACTGGGGGTGTGGATGGTTGGACGGGAGCGAGGACACGCTGGAGGTGAGTGGACAAGGAGCTGAGCTGTCCCAGTCCCGAGTTTCTGGCCGATGGTCAGCGGGTGCAGGAGGTGGGCCGTCCCCTTGGCTTTCAGCCAGGTGCATCTGGGGCCCCTGCTGGGGGTTTAGCTGCGGCAGTGGGGAGTGGGGACAAAGGGTGGGGGCCTCACCAGCTTGCAGGGCTGCGGTAAGCTGGAAGTGCAGGGCCTCGGCCTTGGGGTCGAAGGCCGAGCTGATAGCCGAGGCCCGCAGGTGCTGCACTGGCTGAGGCTGGAGGCCCTGGGCCGCGTTGTACTGGATGCTGTGGTTACATCGCAGGAACATGGGAAGGCTGTCCTGCAGGAAGGGCTGTGTGGAGCCCACAAAGAGACGGCCCGGCCCTGTCTGCACATAGCTCTCCTTGAAGTCCTGGAGGAGGAGGAGGAGGGGAAGGAGAGAGACAAATAATGTCCCAGATTTCAGCTTCCAAGGGGTAGGACCCTCAGCCTCCTATTCAAGGGGCCAGGAAGGCTGGCGGTGGAGGGCTGGTGGGCTTTTCACCCCCTCCTCCAACCAGTTGGGCACCCTTGAGCAGATGACTTCCCTTTGGCATTCTTAAGTATGAAATGGGGAAGACACCTGAGAGGCTGGGCCCAGGGCATCCTCCCACTGGGCTAAGTGCTGGGGTGTCAGCAGGGGGTGCTTGGGGCAGCACATCCCATTCTCTCCCCTGCCCTCATCCCGCACACCTCGGGGCTGGCCCCCACCTGCACTTGAAGATCTGCATCAGCCAGGCTCTCGGGGACGACGCCACTGATCACCACATCAAGGAGCAGGAGGCCATTGGGATCCAGGCCCCGGGCCTCCTGGGTCATCGTGAGCAGCTCCCCTGCAATCCGTCCCCGCCCAGCCTGGAGTCACCATGGGGGAGAGGCCCCGGGCTCAGGCCTCAGCCCCACCCAGCCTACCTGGAAGGAGACCCCTGCTCACCTGTGGCAAACTCCACGTGCGACTTCTGCAGGAAGCTGCCACCCGTCAGAGAGTGGCCGTTCAGGGCGTCCCCACTCTCTCCAGCCAGGGCCCAGTAGATGGGGGCGATGGTGACCACAAGCACCCGCATCAGAGGCCCTGCATGGGGCAGACGTGGAGGCTGGGTCAGGGCCAGATCCCGAATGGCCACCACTCTCCTGCTCAAGATCCCTCTGTAGCTCCTTATTGCCCCAGGAGGGCTCAGCCCCTTCCCTCCCTGCCCAGGCCCAGCCCTGTGATCACCTGAGTCAGTTATTGGATCAGAACCTGGGAAGGGGTGAAGGCAAATATCCAGTTTGTGGAGAGGTTGTGAAAACGAACAGAATATTTGTATACAAAAAAGGGCACATAACTTGTTGATATTCAACTCAGTTCAACAAATCCTAAGGGTGACTGGGTCACCACAGAGCCTGGGACATAGGTGCTGGACCAAGCTGAAAATCAACCAAGTCTCCGAACTTACAGACGCCTTCCAGAAGAGCCTGGGAGAGGAAGGTCATTGACTCGGAGAACAGGGCCAAAATATTGCTCTGGACATGGATTCCCAGACCTTCACATGATGCCCAGCCCTCCTTGCAGGGCAGGGGGTGCCTTGGCCCGGGGATGGGGAAACCCCTCTTGCTTGGGGTCAGGGATGGTTGAGCTCAGCGGAACGGCCGCCTCGGAAGAGAGGTGTGGAGGACCGGTGCTCATGGCCAGGAGAGCCTGTTTCTGCCACTTGGAGGCGGGCCCACCTGGCTGGGGGCCAGCTGCTTCTCCCTGGCTCCTGCCTGGGCGGCTGGAAGCAGCACCCACATCTGGGCAGCCTCTCACTTCACTCGCCCTGCTGACAGCCCACCTGGAGTCACCCCCAGCCGGAGCTCCCTGACCCCACAGTGTTCACACAGGTCTGCGGTCAAGGGCAGTTCTGGAGGTGCTTTAGCACTGCTCCCTCCCTGCTCTGGACCCTCAGGGTGCCCTGGGAAGGGCGAGACAGCAGGGTCTGCAACATCACTCCAGAACATTCCATCTGCTGTGGCACACTGACGTATGAATCTGTTTGAAAGTGGACATTCCTTGGTGCTCTGGGCCTTTGAGCTAATTTTATTGTCCTCATTTCCCCCTTTCTGCCCCCTCCAGGCCATACCCCAATCCTTCCTTTTCTATCTGCTCTTAACAGTGGGGGGGAACCTTACTTGGCCATCAGTGACCTCAAAAATCATCATCTGACTGCATTCACGTATGCTGATTATTTCACACTGTCTCGGTCTGATTTTTATTTTGTTTTGTTGGGAGGTAGTTGGGGGTGGGGGGGGGAAGTGGCCCGCACCTAAATCCACTTTGGCTTGGACTCGGGGCTTCGGGGCAGTCAGATTTCCTCCAGCCGTCAAGCCCTGAGCCAGCCTCAGAACCCAGGTGCAGGAGAAGCTCTGCCCCCCACTTACCCACACTCGCAGGGATGTGGTTGATGCTGCTCTGGATGGTGGTGATCCCAGAGCGTGCCCCCTGTTGCACGCTGGTGTTGAGGGTGGCCCTGCTAAACTCCCGGCCATTGATCACCCCGGACATGCTGCCCCGGCTCCCGCGGGGCTCCCCTGCGAGGAGGGAGAACAGTGACATTACCCACCTCTATGCCCTCAGAGTAAGCAGGTACTGTTACCCACTTCGCGGAGGAGTAACTGAGGCTCGGCGAGGGGAAATGATTTGCCCAAGGCCACACAGCTCGTGGGTGATGGACTCATTGCCCAGGGGATCCTGGCTCTGAGAGAGAGAGAGAGGGAGAGGCTTTTGAGAGGTGCCGTGCCCTGGGATGGTGCTGGCTTCTAATTCTGGCTCTGCCGTCACCTTCCTGGAAATCTGGGCAGGTCAGGCCCCCAAGACACCCTTGAGTTGGCTTATCTATAAAGTGAGGAGGTGGGACCACAGATGTGCCAAAGACCTGTTGGGTTCTAAAATGCCGGGAGCTCCTGATGGAGGGACTGGCATGCTCCTCTGAGCCAGGGCACCGGGCCAGGACCTGAATGCTGCGCCCTGAACATCCTTCATTCCATCCGTGGCCCTGGCTCCAGCCACCCCACAGCTGGATTTCCAAGAGCAGCCGGGCGGTCTGCAAGCAGGCGCTCTCCAGCCCTCATCAGAGGGTGCTTCCTCTGGCTAATGGGCCAGCTGTCTCCTCTGCACAGATGGCATTCTGGGCGGGGAGGCGAGAGACAGAAGCTAGCCTGCCTCTTCGCTCGCCGGCTCTCTGGGGAAATTAACAACCAATTGCCCATGATCTGTCGAAAAAATAACATAAAACACTCAACTGCCAGGATCCTAAATGGGTAAATCAGGGGACTGGTTCATTCTGGATTCCAGGAAGCAGCGCTGTTTCCTGCAGCCTGGAGCTGGGGTTTTGATGAGATTTGATGCCCAACTGGGATGTCTCTCATCAATATCCGCAGCTCTGGGATTTATGGGAGGGACAGAGGAGCAGGCCATGAACCTACTAACCCTGGCCTCTTAAAAAGGGGAAGAGGAAGAAGTCGGGTGCAGAGAATAAAGGCAGCAGCATGGCCTGGCATCTTTCAAAGGGGACAAGAAATTGGAGTCTGGGGATGACAAGCCACCGTCAACTTTCTCAGACATGGGGTGACTTGGCAGCCTCTTGCCTCCCATGACGCCTGGAGGGGCTGCCCAGGCTGATGGGAAATGAGGAAGAGAAGACAGTGTTCATGGTGAGGGATCCTCAAAACCCCTGAACACCCTTTACCTAGCCATGCCCCATTGGAGGGACTTATCCCATAGACATATTCAGGCGAGCACACAAAGATGTGCATCACAGTGTCCATTTCAGAAAGGGGACTGGAAAAAAAACAACAACCCTAAACCTGTTGCTTATTTAACGAAGCCAACAGCAATTAAGTTAGGGACTCCTGGGTGGCTCAGTCGGTTAAGCGGCTGCCTTCGGCTCAGGTCATGATCCCAGAGTCCTGGGATCGAGCCCCACATCATCGGGCTCCCTGCTCAGTGGGGAGCCTGCTTTTCCCTCTCCCTCTGCCCCTCCGCCTGCTTGTGCTCGCACTCTCTGTCAAATAAATACATATAAAACCTTAAAAAAAAAACCCAGCAATTAAGTTAGGAAAGCATCCCTGTGGAATATGAAACCACGAAAGAAGATGTAGGCTGGGTTTACTGTCATAGGATGTTGTCCAAACAGGTAGGTTGTAAGGGCAACCTATAAATTCCACCTCATTTATAAAAAAGAAAAAGCGCATCTGTTTACATTCGAGGGAAAAAAAGTGTAGAGAGATATACCCCAAGTAATGGCCGAGATGGCTGTTTCTGGTCATTGAAGGAGGTGAGAAAATTGGTAAGTCATTTCCTCTTCATAGATTCGTTTCCAACTTATCTGGCCTTTCTATAATTAGCATACAGGAGACTTTAAACATGGCCGTTTCCATTTAAAAAGTAAGGAGGCTGTTATGAATTAAATGATGTCCCCTTAAAAAGATGTGTAGGGGTCCAAATCCCCAGACCTGAGGCTGTGACCTTATTTGAAGACAGGGTCTGGGGGCACCTGGGTGGCTCAGTCGGTTAAGCGTCTGCCTTCGGCTCAGGTCATGATCTCAGGGTCCTGGGATCGAGCCCCGCATCGGGCTCCCCGCTGTGCGGGGAGTCTGCTTCTCCCTCTCCCTCTGCCTGCCCCTCTGCCTACTTGGGCTCTCTCTCTGTCAAATAAAAAAAAATCTTAAAAAAAAGAAGACAGGGTCTGTATAGAGGGGATCAAGTTAACATAAGGTCATTAGGGTAGGCCCTAACTTAATAACTGATGTCCTTATGTGAAGGGGAAATTTAGAGGCGGGCATGTTCCCCGGAGGGAAAACACCATGGGAACTTGTAGGTGGAGATTTGGGTGATGCTTCTATGAGCCAAGGAGCACCACAGGTTGCCAGCAAACCATCAGAAGCTAGGGTCGGGGCATGGGACAGACTCTCTATCACAGATCTTGGAGGGGACCAACCCTGCTTATCCTCGATCTTAGATTTCTGGCTTCCAGAACTGAGAGACACTACATTTCTGAGAAGCCACCCAGGCTGTAGTACTTTGCTATGGCAGCCCTGGGAGACTCATCCAGAAGCCACATGCAGGGCTCGGTGGTTTGGGGTGGGGGCTTCCGAACAGGAGAGGGCAAGGACAGGGACCAAGCTCTGAAATAAAGGGAGGGTCTGCTCAGACCGAAAGCTGCCCCCGAGGCAGCATCTGTGGCCGGGTGTCAGAGGACCCCGGGGTTTCTGGAGCTGTGTGGGGGGTGTTCTAGCCCTGTCTGCAGGAGATGAGGAGACCAGGGGCCAGAAAGGGTCCCGCCGTGGGTTGGCTCAATGGGTTTCAAGTGGTTTTCAAGCGGCAGCGTGTCAAGTCCCAAGTCCTGATAGTCTAGAGGTGCTGCCTGGAAAGGTATTCTACAGAGACGTGAAGAAGTGATCTGACAGTGTGCGCGAAGACAGATGAGTGACGGCTGCCATGGCCGGGGACAGACACGTAAAGCCACAGATAGGGAGTATTTGCTACAGAGACACAGAAACGACAGTCAGAAGTAATATCCGGAGACTTTGCATTGTGCAGTCTGAGTCATTTTGCTGTGGTTTCTCAGGATAGCCCTTTACTCTGTTTTGAAGTCTGGTCTGGCCCCAGGTGGAAGGGAGCTGAGCGGGGAGGCCCGATGTGGCAGGGGTCTCTGATGCCAGAAAGCAGCATCCGTTACCGCCTCCCTACCATGGCCTAATTCAGACTTTACCCAACAACCCCCAAAGGGGGCACCACGGATGTCCTTGTTTTATTCTCCCTACTTCACAAAATTGTGGAATACCCCCAAAAGAAGACCCATGTTTGTGCCAGGTAAGCAGGAATGGCCAGGGTACCCGTCCAGTACAAGTGGGCCAACACTTAGCCTCTTGGAGCCTCAGTTTCCCCAACTGTAAAGGGCCCGGTGGGTAAGATCAGTCCCTGCCGGCTGGCTCCTTGTAAGTTTGTGACTCTAAGCACAGAGAAGAGTCAGGGAGCTGGCAGGGCGGGGGGCCACGTCCCCCATAAGCAACACACAAATCCCCACTGAGCAGATCCCGCCTGTGTCCCCCACGGGCTGAGCGGAGACGCCCCGTACCTCTCACGGCCAGGACGGCCCGGGCCGTGGCGGAGCCCAGGAGGTTGTGAGCGACGCACTCGTATGCGCCCGCGTCCCCGGCTTCCACTCGCTGCAGCCACAGGCTCCCATCCGGCAGGGTCCGGAGCCGCCGGCTGGCCCGCAAGGGCTGGCCCGCTCGCAGCCACTCCACTGTGGGCACTGGCTCTCCCGAGGCCTGACACTGCAGGGCCACGTCCTCCCCGGATCTCACGGTCACGTCCTGGGGCTCCACCCGGAACACCGGGGCACCTGTGGGAGGCCCGGGGCGGCTTTAGGGCACGTTTTAGTATTTGTATATGTTTCTTCATTCAAACAGATTAGAAAACGCAGAGATAGAAAGGGGACAATAGAATCACAAGTGACCATCACATCCAATTACTGTTCTGACAGTATTTCCCTCCAGACACTGTTTCCCAGAATGTGACCGTAGTGCTCACAGCTGCTTGCTTGCTTGCTTCCTTCCTTTTTCATCCCACAATAAATCTTAAGTGCCTCCCCATGCCATGAGACATTCGTTCCGAGTGCCTACTTGGTGTTCCACTGTTTGGGTCTATTACAGGGATGTTTCCAACGCGGTGCCCCTACTTGGTGCCAGATGGGAGACGGGGCCCCGTCACCTGCTGTGGGTGAGTCTCACCAAGTGGCTCCCTGACCCTCCGTCTCCTCATCTGAAAGATGGCCATCCCTGTCCACTCACTGCCACAAACCCTCCAGAGCGGCTGTGAGGAAAAGGCCTCACACTCCCAGCGCTGGTGAGGACGGGGGTGAGGCGAGCTCGCACACACGGGGGAACAGGTGCACAGCCATGTGGAGAAGGGCCGGCCAGGGCTTCAAACAGCAGTAGTCTGCTCTCTCACAGCTCTGGAGGCCAGGAGTCCAAACCCAGCTATTTCACAGGGTAACGTCAAGGTGTCCTGCTTCCTCCAGAGGCTGCAGGGCAGAATCCGTTTCTTGCCTCTTCCAGCTTCTGGTGGCTTCTAGCGTTCCCTGGCTTGAGGCTGTGTCCCCCCAGTCTCTGCCTCCATCTTCCCCTCCTCTTCCTCCCACCCCCTCCTCTTCCTCCCCTCCCCCTCCTCTTCCCCACCCCCCCAATATATAAGAGATATATGCCTCTCTCCTATAAAAGCACTTGTGATAGCATTTAGGGCCCACCAAGACAACCCAAGATAACCTCCTCATCTTAAGATCCTTAACTTAATCATGTCTGCAAAGATCCTTTTTCCAAATAAGATCACATTCACAGGTCCCAGAGCCAGGATCTCCTAAAGTGGAACGTATGGCTGCCGTATGTCCCAGCCACTCCTGGATCGATACCCTAACAGAAACGTGCATGCGGGGGCGCCTGGGTGGCTCATTCGGTTGGGTGACTGCCTTCGGCTCAGGTCATGATCCCGGAGTCCTGGGATCAAGTCCCGCATCGGGCTCCCTGCTCAGCGGGGAGCCTGCTTCTCTGTCTCACCCTCTCCCCTCTCATGCTGTTTCTCACTCTTTCTCTCTCAAATAAATAAATTTAAAAAATCTTAAAAAAAAAAAAAGAAAGAAACATGTATGTGTGTCCACCAAAGGCATGCGTTAGAATACGGAAGCAGTGCTGTTCGTAACTGCCCGGAAGTGCGGTGCAAGACGCAAACTGTAGCGTATCCACTCGGCAGCCAACCATACAGCAACGAGAATGGACGAAGGCCTTCCATGTGTGATCTCACACACAGTGCTGTGCCCAGGAAGCCTGACACGAGAGCACATACGATATGGTTCCATTTAAATAAAGGTCAGAAATAAACAGGAGCACAATGCTGGCCACCGCTGCGTGAAGAGGCCAGCAAGTCCGCTCCCCCAAAAACCAAACATAAAACTTGACAAAATTATCCACACCAACTATTTCAGGGCTCTAGAAGGCCATGAAAGGCAAACAACAAATTGAGCATCATTTCTCCGTGAGAAGCTTCTAGAACTTCGGGCGAGAACGGTGGAGGTGTGGGGCCTGGGGCTGCACCCATCTCCCACCCCCACTTCACCGTGGTCGTCCTGGTGGTTTTGCTGGGGCAGGGCTGGCTGCCAAACCCCCAGCTCTTGCTATCACAAGGGACCAGCTTGATTTGCAGGCGAGGATGCAGGCGTATTCTGAGAGACCGGGGTGTTGTCGGGGGACGGGGTGGGCAGAACTGGCAGGAAGCAAATGGGGACCTGGCACCTCTGCTGGCCTGAGGAAAGCAGGGGACCAGCTGGAAGCTTAATGAGAAGAGCCGGGAAATGAGGGAGCCCTGGAAAGGCCAGATCAGCTCTCTGCACATCCCTGGCTTCCACAGACCATGTGAACCTGTGCAGGGATCCAGGGGTGGAAGGGGGTGCGGGGCAGGAAGAGTCAAAGTCGAGGCCACTCTCAAACTGCCTGAACTCTGAATCACTCCACAGCCACGCGCAGATGCATCCATGGAGGATGGAGCCTTAGTTTCTTCGCCCTTAATTTTCAGCAACTTTGACTGTGATGTCTCTGGTGCAGAATTTCCTTGGGTTTATCCTGTTTGAGTTTTGCTCAGCTTCTTGAATCTGTAGGCTTAGGCCTTTAGTGAAATTTTGCAAAATTCCAGCTCTCATTTCTTTGAATACTCCTCACCCCTTTCTCCTTTCCCTCCAGGACTCTGATGCCACCCTGTCAGATCTCGGCTTTGTCCCACACGTGTCTGTGGCTCTGCTCCTTGTTTTTTTCCGAGTCTGTTTCCTCTCTGTTGTTCAGACTAGGTAAATTCTATTGTTACATCTTCAAAACCACTAATTCTTTCCTTTGTCCTCTTCATACTACACCACTGAAGTTTTCATTTTATTATCAGTTAAGTCCTACAACTTCCCTTTGGTTCTTCGTAGCTCCTATTGGTGCCGTCTTGTTTCAAGCATGTTTCTAATTGCTCAGCCAGGCATTCTTAACGACGCTTATTTTAAGATCCTTGTCAGATCATTCCAACCTCTGTCGCTGTCCGTGGATCAGCGACAATTGAGAGTTTTCTTGTTGTTGATCAGACAAGTGAGTTTCAGCTGCATCCTGAACACTCTGAGCATGACAAGCCTCTGCTTCTTACTTCCCAGCAGGCCCCCTCTGCTGCTTCATTGCTACCAGGTGAGAGTAAAAATCCAGCTTCCCTAGGTGACCTCCGTGGGCACCCCAGAACACGAGGGGTGCTCTACTACTCCCAGGCAGGCATGGGGGTTCAGGGTTCCCACTTCTCTCTGCCGACGTCACCCTGGCTGGGGGGTGGGGGAACATGTGCTATTGCCCTTCACTTGGCCTCACCTGACTCCACCCCCTCAGGGGGGGCACAGGGGTGCTCGGGATAGGGGGCACGGGTAGAAGTGTAGGCTCCCCACCCACTTGGTCTTCGTTGAAGGGGCTTGGGGTGGGGCTGCAGTTTTTTTCACAGTGTTTGGCTGGACTAGGGTGGTCATCATCGGAAAGCTTTCCACCTTGCTATGCTGTTCCTTTCCTGGTCCTATAGCAAGAGAGAGCAGGCTTTTGCCGGGGCTGTCTGTACGTGTGTGTGTGAGGGCCCCTTGGTCCCTTAGCAAACATTCTGCCCAGGATACACGAGGCAAAAAGAGAAACGGGGGAATCCGCTGCATTGTCACTCCACAGGTCCCAAGATCCTTAGTCAGTCCTTCTTTTCTCTATCTTTCAGAGTCAGTGTTTGTCTTCTATGTAACGTCCAAGGTGTTCAGCCGTATGCAGCGGGAGGAGTAGGGAGAAGCACATCTACGCTGTCTTGTCTGGAACCAGAATCAATCCCCAACCCCTGCAGTCCATGACCAAAACTCTCAACAAACTACATAGAAAACTTCCTCCACCTGATAAAAAGCACATGCAAAACCCCACAGCTGCCGTCATACTCAACGGTGGAAGACGGAATGCTCCCTGTCTACAGCTGGAAACAAGGTGAGGCTGTCTGCTCTCTCCACTTCTACTCAGTCTTGCATCAAGGGTCTAACCAATGAAATGCGGCAATGCAAAGAAGTGAAAGGTATCCGCAGTGGCAAGGGAGAGGTAAACTGTCTCCACTCCTAGGTGACGTGTAGAAAATCCTACACACAGAAGCTCCTAAGGAATCTAGCAAAAATGACCAGAACTCAAAAACAAATTCAGCAAGGTTTCGAAGATCGAGATATAAAAATCAATTGGATTTTTGTATATTAGCAATGCAAAACCCAAAAATTAAACCAATAATAATTCCATCCACAATAGCATCAAAAATAATAAAATACTTAGTAATCAATGTAACAAAAAGGGATAAGACCTGTGAACTGTTAAGACATCACTGAGGAAACTAAGATCTAAATAAATTGTACAGAGCAATTGCATATCCATATGCAAAAAAAAAAGAAAAAGGAATTTAGAAAAAGGGACTTATTTCACACAAAAATTAACTCAAAGTGAAAGTGGATCACAGACTTCCATGTAAAAATGAAAACTGTCAACCTTATAGGAGAATGTGACCTTAGGCTAAACAAAGATTTTTTTAGCTATAATACCAAACACACAGTCTATAAAATACAAAATTGATAAATTTGGACTTCGTCAAATTTTAACGCTTTTGCTCTTCCAAAGCACCGATAGGAAAATGCAGAGACAAGCCACAGAATGGAGGGAAATATCTGTAAATCACGTATCTGATAAAGGACTTGTATGCAGACGACATAAAGAACTCTCAGAACTCATTCATAAGACAAACAACCCAACTGTAAAATGAGCAAAACATCTGAAAAACACTTACCCAGAGAAGACACATGAACGAGCTGTACACACACACACACACACACACACAAAGGCGCTCAATATCATTAGTTATTAGAGGGATGCAAATGAAAACCGTGGTGAGATACTAGTTTGCACCCACGGGATGACTGAATAAAAAAGGCAGACAACAAAAAAGTTGGCAAGAATGTAGAGAAACCGAAGCCTCATACACTGCTAGAAGAAGAGCAAAATAGTACAGCCAGTTTGGTGGTTTCCTGAAAAATTAGCTATATCAAGCAATGCACTCCTAGGAATCTACCCAGGACAAAGGAGGACACATATCCACACAAAGACTTGCATGCCGATGTTCACAGCAGCATTATTTGTAATAGCCCCAAATCAGAAACCAGCTAACTGTCTAGTAACTGATGAATGGATACTGTTCAGCAATAAAACGAGATGAAGCACTGATAGGTGCTATAATATGGATGAAGTGTGAACACATTGATGAGTGAAAGAACTCGGAACT